GTGCGGGCCCGATGGGGCCCCTCGATCGCAGAACGCGACGCGGCAGCAGCGGCTTGCGCGCCCAGGGTTGGCTACCCCGCGTCCCCCGTTGAGCCGCGCACCAGAAGGCACTCTCGCCTCGGGTTGCTCTTGCGCGTGGTCGCGGAGTTGATGTCGGGGCCGTCCAGGGTCGAGCGGGCCGCTGTCGACGCCGAGGCACTCCAGGCACGCGAGGCGTGCCAGTGCCTCGCCTTCGGGGCTCGAGGGAGCTGATGCCGCTTCCTCGGCGGCGGGGGCGGCGGGGGCAAAACGGGGGCGGCCCCGCCGGAGGAAGCCGGCGGGAGCTCGGCGGAAGGTCACCTTCCGCCGAGCTTCCGCCGGCCTCTGTGGGGGGGCGATGTGCATTTTTCCACGCCACCTGGTGGCCCGGAAATGCAGATCGCCCCCCCCCCCCCCCCCCCCCCCAAGAGATGGCAAGGTGTTTTAGCTCAGGATTGCCGCAACCTGGGCGGATGTGTAGATCAGCCATGCACCGAGGAAGAGCTTCAGCACAGGCACGGGTTCTCGAAGCTCCGCGCGGATCTCGTGGATCGGCGTTGGGGCCCCCTGACGGCGCTTCCGGCGCCGCCCCTGGTGCGCCCCGCGCGCCAGCGAGGGGGGTCCAGCGCCGACCCAAGAAAATCTGCGCGGGTCTCAGGAAAACCTGTGACTGTCAGCGCTTTCATCTGTTTCACTAGTACAAATGGCGACATTGTTTTCCTGGGTCTTTCCCATTTTCCTGTGAAGAACAATGTTTTTCTTTCTTGCTTTTCCTAGAAAGTATGTTACCACCGTTCCCTGTTTCTCTAGTTTACCAGCCTGGAACATACCTATCCCTATGCTGGGCATCTCCTCATCACGGTGCCAATCTTAGGGACTCCCTTATTTTCTGAGGGCGCACCCCTAAGATTGTCATCGCCTTTTGGCGTGTCTATCTTAGGGATATATATATATATACATATATATATACATAACCGGAACCAGAGCCGCAGCCATACAGCCATGGCCACAGCCACAGCCACAGCCACAGAGCCGTGACCACAGACACGAAGCCGCAGCCACGGCCACAGCCACAGCCATGACCATAACCACCGCCCCCGCCGCGGTCGCGGCGTCGTCTCTGCGCGCCGCGCCCACGGGCCCGCCCTCTGCCGGCGCCCCGCGCGCGCCCGCGCGGCCCCCGGGCCGCCTCCCTGGTGGCCCGCGCTGGCCGCGGCCGGGGCCGCTGCCCTCTTGCGTGCACCTCCTCCTCCTCCTCCTCATCTTCCTGCTCCTCATCTTCCTGCTCCTCCTCATCTTCCTCCTCTTCATCTTCCTGCTCCTCCTCCTCCTCTTCCTCCTTCTTTTCCTCCTCCTCCTCCTCCTCATCCTCCTGCTCCACCTCATCTTCCTCCTCCTCCTCCTCCTCCTCCTCTTCTTCCTGCTAGCAGCATCAGTTATGGGAAGGAAGGGTAGGTTCTGATGGATATTATCGTTGGAAGTGGGATGGCAGAGAATTCGCCACATGACTCAGGGAAGGCACATGGGGAAGCGAGGGGGGCGGTGGTCATGAGCATGCTCTCATCTTCCTGCTCCTCCTCCTCCTCCTCTTCCTCCTCCTCCTCTTCTTCCTTTTGCGTTGACCACACCTGAATCCTACGGTTGTGGCTTTCTTGAATGAAAACAAGAGATTGCGATTCTGGTCAAAGATGTACCTGGCTGGCGCCGCGGAACATGACATAAATCAAGACGAGGCCGAGAAGAGTAAGAAGAGTAGGCGCCCGCCAGGTCCTCGAGGTAGGCACTAATTTAGTATCCAAGTACCCCAGTAGATAAACTTTTACCTGACCCCAATGTTTTTCATAGGTAGTGCCACCTCGGAAGGCAAGTAGCAGCAAACAAAGAGCGCAGATTAACGTATTGTCGACGGCAGTCTCGAAGCTGTGCTCAACAAGGTGCAGCTGCTGAATATGAAGCCTAGATCCCTTCCTCCACAAACCCGCCAGTCTCCAACTCGATGTTAGAGTTGTGATGTCAAATGAGCTACAGGAAGAGATTACAAAAGTAGTGAAAAAGTACCGGCAATTTAGTGCAAGCATGTTTTTCCGAAGTAGTGAAAACTTAGTCCCCGACATCTGGCCACTAACGTAAACAAAAACAACCACGTGTATACAATAGTGTGCTTATTTCTGACACTAGTACAGCGGTAAACGCACCCGAACCAACTTTACCGCGTGGCAGCTACCGTGAAGCAGACGCGGATAAACAACTATCCCAGTACAGAGCTTGTGTGGGGCCCCCATCTAACCCCCCCTCCTCCCTCTCATCTTCTTCCACTCCTCGTCATCATTGTTATTACTCTTCCCCCCCCTTCATTACCATCCTCATCGTCATTGCCATGTTCCTCTCCTCCCCAATCGCCACTAGCCGCCCGACCTTTGAACGCGCGATCGTTTTTTCCAGCGTGCGTGTCGTCATCTGCCTCCGCCCCCCCCACTGTCTTTGTATTCGCCCCTCGCTGGCCTGGGCGAGGGGTGAATACAAAGACAGTGGGCGTTGGAGGCGCGCGAGGGCGATGCGAGGGACGGCGAGGCGAGGAGCCTGTGCTCCCTGCTCGTATGGGTTCAAATGTGGATCCCTTGCGAGGGACGGCGAGGCGAGGAGGCGAGGTGTTCAAATGTGGATCCCTGCTCGTATGGGGGCTCCGTCGATGGCTCTAGCGACCATGTTCGTATAGGGGTACTCCCAATACCTGCACACCCCTCGCACGTTTCGTGGCCCCGACGGGAGCTCCACTGAGGGCCCGAATGGCCACGTTCGCATGAGGGGTCCACGTCAATTTCGGCACGCCCCTCCCACGCGTCGCTGCCACGTAGTGGCTGGCACACCCAATTTCCTTAAACAAGATAGGTCGGAACTTGTGTAAGTGCAGGCTCTGTTTGAGGAATGTGCATAAGTGCGTGAAGTGCTAGTTGGTATCCAACTGCCTGCGGCGAATCCAGCCACCGTGCCAGAGCAGCAGCGCGGCGTGAAAGAGGTTGAGTTGAAGACGCGTGTAGTTGCTTCTCTGGGGCACCTTGAGGGCCTATCGGGAGCCTTTGGGGGTCCGCTCGGGGAACTTCTGGTGGCGGTCTCTAGGGGAACCCTTCGGGACCATAGTTTAGGAATGTATCCCCACATGGGCTCACACTTGACCTCGAACGCCCCATTAACATCCATCTTCGATTCCGTTTTGCTCCAAGCAATTTGGGGGATCTTCGGGGAAGGTTGCAAACGACCGCGGGCAATAATAGCAATGTCGCCACCGTCAGCTCATCCGTAATGGTTTCCAGCAGTGCTCAACCATGGCTGCGCAGCACCCATTCGCTGCGCTGGCAGACGCTGCTGCTGTCGAGGCAGTTTCGCCGTTCGCTGCGCTTGCAAACGCTGCTGTCGAGGCAGTTTCGCCGTTCGCTGTGCTTGCAGACGCTGCTGTCGATGAGGCACTTTCGCCGTTCGCTGCATTGGCAGACGCGGCTGTCGATGCACTTTCGCCGTTCGCTGCATTGGCAGACGCTGCTGTCGAGGAGGCAGTTTCGCCGTTCGCTGCATTGGCAGACGCTGTTGTCGAGGACACAGTTTCGCCGTTCGCTGCATTGGCAGACGGTGCTGTCGAGGAGGCAAGTTTCGCCGTTCGCTGTGATGACAGTCTCTTGCGTGGACTGCCCTCGTAGCAACGCAGGGGTCGCAAACGGAAGGCTGACCTAGTGATCGCCTCTGCCGCTCCGCTCGGTTTGGCTGCTGCTGCAAATCAATGCCAGTTGGACGCTGCCGATGCCATGCGTGCACATGCTGACCACCAGTTGCGAGTGCGCCGTCAGGCTATGTTGGGGCCAGTGCCGTCGTGTCTCCGACCGAGGGCCCAGTCCAGCACCGATTGCACCCAGAGCATGCCGCAGGATGTAGCGCGATCACTTCTGACTGGGTCAGGCGCCAATCTTGTCCAACTGGGCCATCTTGAAACACTCTGTCTGCGGCGCTGACCACCGTTGCGGGGCAAAGTTGCGAACCAGACAGTGCAACTTTGACCTTCTCGGAGTTCATGTGCGAGCGCCCCCGTCTCAGCATCGATGCCTCTACCGCCAGTGTGAGCGAGCAACTCCATATGACCTGCGCCGCTTTCTTGGCCAGAGAGATCAGAGTTGCTAGCGCTGCGTTGCTATGCTCTTGGAGCGAGAGGAGACCGTTCGAGATGTCGATTGCTCGCGCTGTGGAGCGAGAGCAGATCGATGCTGTCTTCTTCTGCGAGGCTGGCCGCATGGACGAAACCCCGATGAGCACGATAAGCCATGCTGCAACTACCCCGATTGGGATCTTCCGTGCAATGGAGAGCCAGTCGTCCCAGCAGATCGTTGAGAAGCCTGTCGTCGACAATGCTGATATGAGGGCATATGTGTCCCATGCGCCAGTTGGGGG